GGAAAAGTTTTGAAAGGGGGTCAAGCAGCGGTAGTATTGGTGTGAGAAGTGTTTTYTATTATTTTCGTAAAGCATCAAGATTTTTTTAATGAATGAAGCTTTTACATGTCTTCTAATATATTAACATATTTGACATCATTTATAAGTTGTTAACAYAAGGTTATTGCGTTACATGTAAATTTGATGAAATGTAACGCAATAAACCATGAAGATATCTTTATTTAAAAGACAAAAGATGGATTGAAAGTAGAGTATTTAACTTATCGTGGATGAACAAACACAGTACACTGTCGTGAGAACTTGCATATGATTATTGGAGTGCATCCGGGATCTGTCATGTGGAACAGTATAAATACGATGCTATAAATTATTGGTATGTTCCCACGACCCTTTGCTTGTCTTCACATCAATCAACCGAGACCATACCATTTAGTATTACGTATTTATCTTACTGCTACATCACACACAATCACGTTTGAAGCCTACAAGAAGCCTTGTTCTGAGCTCTACCTGCATAAACTGTTCATTTAAAGACTTCCATAACTTTGGTGGCCAACTAAAAACGCTAAGGAGAGGGGAAAGAAACATCAAGAAATCAGTTTTCAGGTATGGAAAAAGTCATATTTCATACTCAATTTGGAATCCATGAAGTTCTGTTCACATTCAATGAAGTTGGCCTTAAAAAATAACGAAACATCAGGCCACACAAAAAATATCATTAAACAGTTAATGTCAATAATTGGTTATGTTTTATAGACAGCGTTCATGAATGCGAAGCAACATTTTCTCTTCATTACCCACATCAAGACGATATTTCCATGAAATGTTCTACACTGTCAATTGAGCAACTAATCGAGACGTTAAAATCACATCTTTTCCATAATAAGATATATATCCATTAAGTTTTTAAAAGTTAATCAAGTGCTCAAGTTCAGTTTGGCAATGTTGTCATTATGCCAAGGTCACGGGCGGGCATCATCATAGCTGGATAATGAACTTCATCATCAAGGTCCAACACCAAAAATTGAACACCATTTTATAGAATTCACTTGTTCGGATTAAGAAAGAGCTGCTTTTACTAAGAACTGAGCGCAGCTTTCACTTTGACGTAGTTACATCAGTGCGGAAGGTCAAAGTCTTAAATAATCTTGACGTGTTTTTTTGGTAAAGATTTAGAACTTTGGATTTACATTGGAAATAATGTTAAGAATTTGTTTTAGGCTTATTGGCTTATTGAAGTTACCAAGAAATGATCTCCTACTGGTGTTCTCGCTTGACGTCATATGATTGATGTACTGTACTGTGACGCACTGATTACATCTGTCACAGTCAATTACTCTATATATGACGTCGTTACTGTACACGTTGATTATCTGAAACACGACCAACAAATATGACATCAAATATTCACCACCATCATGTAAAACAACATCAAACACTGAACTATCATCAAATAATCACCATCATCATGAAAAACAACATCAAACACTATCCCCTAAACAAACACCCAACAACACCCAACGACAAACACTCAACAACAACCACAAATAACATGATCCGACATTCAAAAGCACCACAAAATCAAATAACCATCATCCCTTCAACAAACATTCAGCTGGATAGCCACCACTGGCAAAGCGACATGTAATAGCTCACGAGCAAACACAGCTGTCACCGAGACTGGAAAAAAAACCACAATATAGTTAAATAAAAGTAAATAAGGTGCAAGATTCAGTCATGCAAGTCTTGCCATATTTAGCCGAGATACACTGTGCAATATTCTCTGTGATGCTGCTGCGTCAACATAAAGAGATAGTTGCGCTTGCTCTCTAGATGAAGATAGCCTAATGTGTCGGTGACCTGAAAACAGGCAAATCATTACCTAAAGTACAAATTACTTGTAATTCTTCTGGAGATTACCGCAACTGACATTAGTTGACACTACACCGACGCGTTCACTTCTAAAAACCCTGCGTCTCAAAAGATAGCCGCAGGAATAATTGCATGGCGTATATGCGCACATAACTGATTTAATCTGCACATTACTAGTATGATTGATATACGAATATTGCGTCCTTTCATTGAAGGAAATGATAACAGGTGGTCATCACCCTTGAATTGGCCCGGCGTTCATGCTGACAATGGATCAACACAGCACACGAACCAATGCCTAAAGCTAAACGACGAGCCAAGTCATCAAAGAGTGAGTACAACCAACAAACACTACAGTTATCTTTACTTTTAATGATTGCTTAACCGCCCTCGTCTGAAAATTCTAGCAAAGGTTTCCCATGGGCTTCGATTCCTGGACTTGGCAAATAACGTTTGTTTGGTCTCTCCCATGATTTGATGGTTTACCTCCACGCACTAAAAAGACTAAAAACGTTAAATTCCAATTCGGTCTGTGAGTTAGCCATGCCCTGCCTTAGATCAGCCCAGAGGGTGTTTCAGGGTTCCATACGATTTTTAAAATGTGCTTCGGGTAATTGAGAAAGGTTTGCAAGAAACAGCGTGGAGTGGAACCCATTTCGAGAAGAACACGCACAGACACATGAAAACAAAAATCGCTCATTAGCGGGTCATTTTTGTTAATCAGCAAACGTTGATGCTTGACGAATACGTGATCCTTGATTGTGTGCCTACGTTCCCTTTGGTCAGCATCATGGTTACACTAGTACAGCAACTAACTAAATCTTCAACTGTTTGATATCCCTGCATCCAACAAAACATTCGCATTTTTATGATGAAGACCAAAATGAATGCATGATCAGCGAACAAGATACACTAAATGTCAAAACCAGAGAATTATCATTATTACTGCGCATGCTTGACCAAATGTATGTCGTTGAGCATGCGCAATAAGTATGGGGGCTGGGCTCGAGTTTAGTACTCTACCAGCAAAGTGCATGCTCTGCCAAACCGACCACTGACCAACAGGGGTGAAACCATATCATTTTATTATTTTTTTCTTCGCGCGCCGCCATCTTGTGCTGCAGTGTAGTTACTTTGAAGGGCTTCTTCACACTACTCTAAACTTTATTCCTTTATTTTACCAAGATAAAATATGCCGGCGCCAGACAAGTTAAAAGGTGTCACTAAAGCCGCCATACTATTAACTATAAAAGTACCTGACAATTACCTGGACAGAGCGCATGTCTAACCCTCTCGCTATACCGGCTTACAGGCCTCTAAATACTCTAGACATCTGTGTATGTAATGCTGAACACGTACATTACCACTGAGGGCGGGTGGGCAGAAAGGAATAAGAAAATGAAACCAGAAAATATAATAAATCATCCTTTTAACTAGTTAGTTAAGAATAAAAATATTATAACGTATATTTGGTTTGTTTCTAATAAATGAAATTTAGCTCATTTTTAGGATATCATTAGAATATTATATCTTTATTTTAAAATTGTTTTTCTTCGGGATTCATTCTCTTTAGGATTTACGTTAAACTGCATTTTACTCCAACGAAACGTCAGTATTGCCTCAAACATTTTTACACGTCTAATTGTCCTTCTTATTCCGTCGGTGTTTGTCAATGAAACCGGCGAATGATTCAAATCAGCCCGTCTTTAACCACACAGAAAGATAAATATTGACTCGATAACCGGCACTGCCTGCCTAAGGTCTGTCTAAACTAGTAGAATTATACTGGATGATAAAACTACTGATTCGCTTCGCTTGTGGAGTCTAGCCAGCTAGAGTACCTACGTGAAATCACCAGTTGGAACCGGTTGGTGTGCTTGGCCTGTCTTTTTAACTAAGAGATAACGAGATTGATATGCAACTAGTTATATTCAACGGGTAGAAATGATGGTGACAAGATAAGTGCTGATGATGATGTCCAACAGATAACGACAAGTACAATATTGTTATAGCATTGCAGTTCCTTAATCGATATTCGCTTTCCATTCTCTTCAGTTCGATAAACAAAGGGCTGAAATGCGAGTAAACTTTGACCAACGTTTAATCACAACTAAATCAAACGACTCATCGAAAATATAATACCTCTCAACCAAACTGGCTGAAATATGAGGAAAAAAAAGTGTTTCGTGGGCGTTTGTTTTTAACGAAATTGTTTCTACAATTGAATTCATTAGCTTTTCAAAAACATATTTTTGATGTGTTTATTAAAATAATATTTTGGCTAGACGTTCTTTTTCAACACAAGCTTGGCTTATTTTTCTCAATGGTATATATCCTATCTGGGTTATACTTATATCTTTTTACCATAGTATAACAAACAGTTGGGTATTTATAATGATTAGCGGGTCATTTTATTCAATCGTTTTGTTAGTTCGTCGTTAACACACAGATCCACACGTCTTTCTTATCAGGAAAAATGAATACCAATTCAGTTTCGTTATCAGACTCAGCCGACTTTATACACATCTATTATTGGAATCAACCAAAACACAAGTTAGCGCATTAAAAATTACATTAACAAAAGCAAGTTAGAGAGAATCGCTTTTAATCTGTTTTTGGCTTAGAAATAAGTGAAGATTAAGCAACATGTCATGGCTTTAACTATTCTATAGTAGTATTTGAACTAAAGCTAGCTACTACGCGGTCTTTATTGGATCATAACGCATGACTTTCTTATGATACACCCTCGACATTTGGGTACAAAGCAGGTTTACTGGTTTCTTTTTTCGATATGTTCGTTGAAAACTCTTAGAGCTTAAGTATTGAAAATATGCACAAATGACCGGAAATGTAATGTATTCCGGACTTGAACATAATATGTGTATAATAGTCAGCTAGTTAGATCTCTTAGCTTCTGTTAGCCAGTGTGTTTCTTTGTTTGAAAGATTTATTCCCGTGAGATAAAAGTCCTCAACAACAGCTGACCGATTTCCACCGATTAGATTCTACTATTGTAGCTCAGCCAATCAAATCATTCGCTTTCCCCCTGCTATTGACCAGTGCACATGTTAGACGATCTCATAAATATTCATAAGTCGCCAACGAGTCGCGTGTAGCTATTGTTATCACAGGGTTATTTGTAAATAACTTCCATATATGGAAGAGGTTAATGTTCTCACGAGCCTCAGATTGCAGGAAATGTTCCCACGATCATAAAGGCAAAGTATCGTGGACATCGCATCGACATTGTACTTAGGATTGTCCCCGCTTCTAGTAGGACGGGATTCCTCTTGGCACTACTTATCTGCAAGTATTTCTTCTGCAAACTTACCTTGTAGCCTGTTGAAACTCACCGTAAATTCAAACTTCGGGGGAAAACTTTAGTGATAAATTAATTGAAGTCTTGAGCTCGGACTGAACACGTTTTCTGAGTCAATGGGGTCTTGTTTCTTCACRACACATCGCATCGTTTAGAGGGTAATTATATTCTTTGGTAAAGAAGGTATTTAAGATAAACTTCTACTATTTGGCTATGTTTTTGGTTCAAGATTTGGTTGTTTACGAGCGTAAATCGTAGGGAACAGCTACGACTTCTCTTTATCTTTACCAGTCGTTCGTTTGTTCACCTTTCTAGGTCAGCTAATGTGTACATGATCAAAGGACATTAGTTGGTATTCAATCGGAATCCAACTTTTTCACCTCAAGAGGATAAAATCTAGCAAAGGAATCAAACTTCGAAGTTGGGTCCAATGCGTAGAACAGCACCAAGTTTGACTTCTCCTCTCCCTCGGCATGCCATCAAACGTTTTCATCTCGATCCTTCCTACAATACAAACGATCTCACTTCAGGCTCTAACAACGACTCCATCGATACAACAGTATATCAACCACATATATCAGCCAATCTTACTGGGAATTTTTCTAGTAATAACGACAATCACTGCGATCGTAAGTATTAACCGTGAAACGTTGCTCATTTCCTGATCTGAAGTCTTGTCCATTGCGTTGGTTGAAACCGAACACCGTTCAACCACAGACCAAGCAACTCTACTATTATTTACCAAATAACGCGCTAAAATCCAATGTTTGATCTCTCGTAAAAGGTTTCCGATCGTCGAATCCTTACTTGTCTTGTATGTGTTTATATAGCTTTGACATCTATTGAAATAAGAATAATCTATGTATGGTTTGTATCCTCGTGTATCATGTATCTTCAAGCAAACTACTCGCTATAAACATTCTAATTATAAAGTGTGGGAAAGTAAGATGGTTTTTTCTCACGCGGCCCATGTACTTTAAACGATTTCAAATACCTACTTAAATACAAATTTAAATACTTAACGATCGTAAAACGACTGTTTATTTCCAAAAGAAATAAAGAATCTTTGACAATCAAAGCATGTGCTGGTATAAATTTGATTGCGTAGAAGTAAAAAAAAACTAGATTCGCTTTAATAGTAATCGTTCACGGACCGCTTGCAGCATAGTATCGGATACTAATTAAATCATTTCGTTATTTCTACCGTAAAAATTGGACTTCTAAATCGCAGGACTCAGACACTTATATCTATATAAATGTTAGGTTAACGAAAGGTTTTTCAGACTTTTATATTTTTAAGTTATTTTCAATGCTATTTTTCTTATTCTTGAATTGTTTTACGAATGCGGCAATCTATTAGTCAGAAACGTTCTGCTTGCTAGTGTAGCATGACTAACATTTATTTTTAGCTTTTACTTTATGTTAAGATTAATAATCATCAATAATTTTCATTAAATACTAATAAAAAATATTTTGTTGATCTAGAAATATTTATTTTGAAAGCGGTGGACTTATTAATCATTCATGCTATCATTTATTATTGATATTAAAACATTATTAATTGTAACATTTTATAAATGTATCCTCTCATATAATAATTGAAAAATATTATTTAGCTTATATATTTATCTATTAATTCTCTTATGTTTTTAGACACATTTTAGTACAAGTTTTACGAGTTTATTTAGGGCAGGAAAAGCCAGTTTACCTTGTTAACTTAGAGTCGTTTGTTTGTTATATAAACTGTCAGGTGTCAATAATACTGAGTCAACAATCCCCAGTCATTGAAAATACACAAAATAAGTTTAGTTAATCTAAATCTACTCTATTTGTGGTTTTCAACCATTCCCAAGAGGACCAAAAGACAAAGACATGGCGGCCATGCTGGTGGACAGATACAAAAGGACCTATGACAAGTCTTTTGTTAGAAGTCCACCAGATGACGTAATCAGAAAACAAAGGATATAAGAGAAAAATAGAATATTAACTACTGTTTATATGTACTGTATATATCTGCTGTATATATCAGGGATATTATATTTTTAACCAAGGGCCTTTGGTTCATGCATTGATGAAGAGTGGCAAACTTTCATCTCTGGCTTGATGTATCCTAAGAATACCCAGACCTGTGATATAGTGAACACTTTATATAACTACTATTTATGTTGTTTATGTAGGTAGGGGTCCTTACCATAGAGTTGGTGGAGGATATACACCAAAACATGGACGAGAAGCTCTAACCAGCCCAGAGGGTAGGGCACTGACACAGATAAACATGACGGCAGGTCAACCAAGCCCTCCTACAACACCATCTCCAACACCTGATGATGATGATAGATTACATAAAGACAGTTCTGCAAGGTAATAGAAATAAAACTATACAAATATTTTAGTGACTGAAACTAACAATAGGTTTTCCAAGGGGTGCATTGTGTAGTACCAGAAAATGTCCATACCTCTCCCATGGAGTGGGATAGAGATTTCTAAGGGGTGGGGAGGGTCTGAGGAGGGTATATTGTGTAGTACCAGAAAATATCCATACCTCCCCCATGGAGGGGATTGGAATTTGCAAGGGGTGGGGAGGGTCTTAGGAGGGCATATTGTGTAATTCACCAAAACTCCTCTAAAACTAGTTCATCATCTTTATACCTCCACCAATTCAAATTGTGAATGTAGGGTTAGGTGTGAGGAGCATACAGTTATCTGTGATGATATGAATGTTGGATATTATTGTGTTCAAGGTTTCCAATGTGTTCATATGTACCAACAAAACTAACCAAAGTAGCCATGGATATGTACTTAAACGAGGTTGTCAAGAGGAATGGACATCAGACTGTCGTTATTTTTCATGCAAAAGTTGCGCAAAAATCTTACGGAAATGAAAAAAGGTAGGCAGCACCTTCTCTTCCTGTAGTTAGTTGAGCAATCCTGGTAATATAACTACATACTTTAGGCTGACTATGATATAAGTGCATAATGATTAGCAAATATATTACATAGATTGGTTTGACTTCCATGCAAATTAACCTTTTAGCAACTACATGGAGTATTATGTATACAAACATTACTGTTTTTTCCCTTGTTTACTCAGTTAAAAGACTTCCTGTTATTAACAACTATACTCTATTTACTTGAAAAATCATGCAAATTCATGGCCTGGTCAAATTGGAATTATATACATGTAGAGTATAATTATTACATTTTGCAAAAAGTGAAAAAGCGGGGAACCCAGAGAAAATTAAGGGAGGGACCTAATAAACTCTTATCACATGTAACAGAGTGTGGAAATTGAACCTGAAAGCCCTGAGGGTATTCAGACAAGTGTACTACCATAACACCAGTCTTGATTCCCTTAAAGAGTTTTGTTTTTATTTCAATATTCAGGTTTTTCTGTCCACCTCCTTGTGTATATCTGTTTGGAGAAGGTTGGAGAAACAGGCAACAACTATTACAACAAGCTGGAGAAGACGATGGGAAAAGTCAGCCTGTAGCTTTCATAGGAATCGGCAACAATAATGAACAAGATATGCAACAATTATTAATAGAAGAAAAGGTGATATATTATATATATTCCGGTGTAGATAATGACAGAGATTAATGTACAGTTTAAAATATAAATATTACTTTTATCTTTCAGGGTTATGGTGCTGCTAAAACGTTATTTATTTCTGACTCAGATAAAAGAAAACACTTTGAATTATCAGTTAAGGTAAATAAAACATATTCTAGTTAGAAGAAAATGACTTCCTGAATTCATTATCATTGGGGAACCAAACCTTAAACCTTTAACAAGTGAATAAAACTATATAGTGTTTTGTACTAATATAAACTATAAACTAGGATGCACGGAAAAAGAGAAAGAAAATCAACTGATTATAAAACTGATTGACTCCAACGAAGGACTAACGTCCGAAATGTCAGTCTACTAACTTTCATACCTACGGTGATAAAATTATCTACTACGACACATTTGATTATAAAACCAACTACCCAAATTGGAAAAAAAAAATTTTTTAATTTGTACTTGAATTTAATAATTCTTGCACCTTGGATCTTTCAGTTACTTTATCCTAATGGAGATCATGTTGGTATATTCAACTCTAAAAGAATAAAGGTTTGTCATTTATTAAAAAATATAAAAAAATAACTTCAATTCAATCCTTTGTGAGTCAAAAGGGAGTGAGCCTTACTCTCTTGTTATTGTCTAATATTATCTGTCTTGCTATACTATAGGTTATATCAAAACCATCGAAGAAGAAACAGTCCTTAAAGAATGCAGATTGTAAGTTGTAAAATAGGTGTCTGATGAAATGGCAATGGTTTGCCTTTAGTTGTTACCATAGTAACAAAATGTTTCATACATAACCCATGCATACTTATTTATAGCATATCCTGACTTTTACTACTTGCTTATACCATATAATAATAATGTTATCCACAGTGTGTATCCAGTCTGGATCAACAGTAGCACTATTCAATAGGTTACGGTCACAGACAGTCAGTACAAGATACTTACATGTAGAGAATGGGAACTTCCATGCAAGCAGTCAACAATGGGGAGCATTTACTATTCATTTATGTGAGTAATGATTCATGATCATGGAAGAGAACGACATAATAGTAAAGAAACTCAGCTAAGATCATAAATGTCATCAACAGCAGCATTTATATAACCAGGTATTATTATGACCATTCATCATCAACATCACCAACATCCCCACCATCATCATCATCACTATCATGTATCATCAACATCATCATCATCGCTATCCTGTATCATCATCTGCATCTGACTATCATGTGTTACCATCATTATCATTACCAAGTGTCAACCATCATTACCATAGTGTCATTATCATTGACCATCATCATCATCATTACCAAACCATCGTTATCACCATCATCATTACCAAACCATCGTTATCACCATCATCATTACCAAACCATCGTTATCACCATCATNCATCATCATTACCAAACCATCGTTATCACCATCATCATTACCAAACCATCGTTATCACCATCATCATTACCAAACCATCGTTATCACCATCATTACCAAACCATCGTTATCACCATCATCATTACCATTATCATCAGATCATTGCCATCAATCATCATTACCAGTGTCATTATCGCATCATCACCATTTTTATCATAACCAAGTGTCATTACTACCACCATCACCATCGTCATCACCATTATTATAACCATCATCACCATCATCATCACCATCATCATCACCATCATTCTCAACATTGTTGTTGTTTCATCTTGAAGTAAGTATTTTCTTAGTTTGATGAAGCGTTTGTTATTTTGTCTTTACTTAGTGGATGACGAAGAGAGTGAGAGTGAAGAGTTTACAGTAAGAGAAGGATACATTCACTATGGATCGACTGTTAAACTGGTGTGTTCAGTCACTGGAATGGCCCTGCCGAGACTGGTAAGTTCATCATCATCATCAACGCCAGGAGGCCAGGAAAATGTCTGTCATATGTTTGAACAGACAATTGATGAACACAATGGTTCATGGTCCAGATAAATAATGCAAGTTGTCGTTTTTGTTTGTAGATTGTAAGAAAAGTTGATAAGCAGACGGCATTATTAGATGCTGATGATCCTGTTTCACAGTTGCATAAGGTATGGATTTCATGACACCTGAAACTACACCTGTCTATATACACTAGTTGTGTGATAATTTGGACTATCCCATGAGGCACCATGTTCCATTAATCAGATCAATATTGTGGGAGATACTCAATACTGGGGTTAAAAATGCGTGTACCAATACATGAAAACCCTGGACAGGTCTGACTTTTGAGAATACACTAAGCCTGCAGTGCTGGAAGGGACAGTGGAACATTGAATATTCAAACAGATATAAGTGACTTATTTTACATTTTCCATGAATTACACTGCCTTATATAAAATGTATTTTCCATGGATTGTTTAGGTTGCCTTTTATATGAAAGACACGGAAAGAATGTATTTATGTTTATCACAAGAAAGAATAATCCAGTTCCAGGTAAAAGTTGCTGTTATTCTATTAGAAACTATATAAATATAAACTAATATTAATGAGATATATCTTGTTTCTCAGGCAACACCCTGTCCAAAAGAAGCCAACAAGGATATGATAAATGATGGTGCATCATGGACCATAATAAGCACAGGTAACCATGGTTTGAGTGCTGTAAGATTTTTGTGCTCACATCTATTCTGGTCTGAAAGGAAGCATGAGATTGTATCCCACTTCTGACACCATTTGATTACTAGACAACATCTTCAACATGTGTTTATAGGGATGCACATATTGACTAACTTTAGTGACACAGGGTCTCCAATGTGACACCATTGACCTTGTTTCTTTATGCTCTCATATATTACATCGACACTCCTCTCCAAACAGCTCTATGTATGCACAGGTCATCCTGTTTTGCTGGCTAACCAATATCTTGTTTCTTGTGATTACAGATAAAGCAGAATGCAGTTTTTATGAGGGGATGGGACCTGTAAGATCACCTGTTACTCCTGTACCAATAGTAAATCATCTGCAGGTATTAAACTATTAGTAATAATCTATAAATTACTTTTAAGTCAGATATCAAGTTACTATGACAGAAATTTACAAAGTATTGAATGTGAATCTCTAAATTTCTTTATAGCTTAATGGCGGCGGAGATGTGGCCATGTTGGAACTGACGGGAGAGAATTTCACAGCTAATCTTAAAGTATGGTTTGGCGATGTAGAAGCTGAGACAATGTACAGGTAAAGTACCCCAATTCCTACCACAATGCTACTGTCAGTGTCTGGCTTCCAAAGTATGTAGATACAAGGAAAAGATCACTGTAAAGTTTTCAACTAATTAATATCGTATCAATTCTCTATATTTCAGGTGTGGGGAGAGTCTACTTTGTGTGGTACCAGATATATCGGCCATTCGTGGAGGCTGGAGATTTGTACGGCAGCCCACAGAGGTAGCAGTTACCCTGGTTCGGTGTGATGGTGTTATATACCCCACCGGTCTAACCTTTACCTATACACCTGAACCAGTGGAACGACCACCCTTGCCAGTAGCAGAATCAGTTATCAGAGGAGAACTATAGTTTTATACTCAAGCTATATTGGTTATCCATTATCACGTGCACATTAATATTCACCCCAAAGAAGTATGTTAGGGTTGATTTGGTTTTGATAACCTGCTCTCTTGTGATTATCATGGATGATAAGTAACCTTGGCAACATACAGTAAATTTGGCAACATACAGTAACCTTGGCAACATACAGTAACCTTGGCAACATACAGTAACCTTGGCAACATGCAGTAACTTTGGCAACATACAGTAACCTTGGCAACATGCAGTAACCTTGGCAACATACAGTAACCTTGGCAACATACAGTAACCTTGGCAACATACAGTAACCTTGGCAATGTACAGTAACTTTGGCAACATACAGTATCCTTGGCAACATACAGTAACCTTGGCAATGTACAGTAACCTTGGCAATGTACAGTAACCTTGGCAATGTACAGTAATCTTGATTGACGATGTAAGGTCAACATTTTTATGAATCCCAAGAAGTAGAGATCATATCATATTTCTAAGCAAAATATAAAGACTGTTCTTAAGCAATGGACAAGAGATTAAAGCTTCAAACTAGCTTCTGTTTAGAAATATAGTGTACATACTTGAGATATACAATATGGAAATACAGTCTGTGGAATGTGGATGGTTCATGTGACATAGAATACTTCCATTATAATGTAGCTCCTATAATTATTTGCCATGAAATAGTCTTTACTGTATAGTAGAAATGGCAGAGTTTTAAGGAAGGGATTTTGAAACATAGTTTAGGCACCAAATTTATGAGAGGTAACTATTATTATCATGTACAGTACATTTGATAAATTTAGCACCACTTGACTTGGATAGGATAAGGAAATTGTGTAAGAMATGTTTTCATTCAATATGAAAAGAATATTTTTTCATCTTGTTTACTTAAGTATACAGATATGGCAAACACTAAAATTGTTTTTTTTCTAAGACAACCGTTTCCTCGTTTACTCAGGCATTACACTAACCATGGACTTATTCAGCATATGTAAGCACTCATTCTTTAAGATATACTGTATATAGGCTCTTATATTCTTTCTTTATGTTCAGTTTTGCTTTAAGGTATTTACTCTTTAAGATAAGTTAAAATAATGTTAACTTATGGGTTAATACGGTGCTTACCATTTAAGTCCATCCAGTTGGAAATCCATTTGCTAATGGTAAAAGAAAGATCTGGAAATTTAGACTTACGACAGAAACGGAGAAAGAGTGGGGGAAAATGGATTACCTCAATTGGAAGACTGAGTTTTCTGTAACTTTCCCTCGATTGGAATGACACATTAATAAATTATTGTTTTCCAACTGGAACTGTTTTATTTTCTGGGGTAAATGGTAAGCACAGCCAAGCTGTTCATTAATCTTTCCTATTATAATATCCTCTATCACTCACAGACACCTGGGAATAAATTTTGTTGTTTAGGTTTCATAATATCTAATACCCCATTCACACCTAAACGTGTTTAGTTAAACTATGTTTTCATTAGGAAAAAAATTGAGAAACTGGAAACCTACAATATAATGAAACTTTGTAAAATATTATTAGAGCAAGACAAAGGATAGCTTACATGCATTATTTCACCAAATATTGTGCTCGTAGATAGTTTTTCAAACCTGTTTAGTTAAACCACTTTAAAACATGTTAAGCCTTGGTGTGAATGGGGTATTAGACATGTTTAGTAAACTGCAATAGTGTAGCGAAGACAAGCATTAGTGTTAGTGTATTATAACTACATAAAGTAATGTATCCAAGCTAGTCTTGTAAGATTAAGCAAGCACAGAACCAATGGCCAGTATCTGGCTTTAAGTATATTCAGCTAAGCGAATTAATACATTTATTATTTTTTGGTTGATATTCAAATCAGTTGATGTCCATTCTCAGAACCCCCAAGGTATCCCATGATTCCTCTTGATCTGTCTTGAAATCAAGGGACCTCTTTGATGTATCAATCTAAGCATTGAGAACGAAGGTATTTTTCTTTAATATTACAATAAGTAATGTCACTTCTTTAGTTTATGTAAATAAAACGAAAGAAAATAGTTGTATTTTATTCACACGAGCCTATATGAACACAAAAATCATGCAGAGATCTAAACTAAACTATCAAACAGATTAATCATTCGTTGTTTTAACTAACGTGTCTTGTCTGTCATGTCTTATTAAACACAAATGAAACGCTTTTCTCCTCGTTTCTTTCCTCTAAAATTCATTAAAATAGCTAGAAAACAACTGATAATATGCTTACCGATCATTTGGTGTCCCTAGGTAGTAGATAAGAGGTATTTTCATGTTTTTTTACAGACAAGACAAGATGGCGCACTTCAGCTTTTAAAATCCAATACCAATAGCGGGAAAATGGGTATTACCGCTGACCTCTCCTCACCCCTCCCCTCTGCGAAGGTAGAGGCTTTCACAGGAGGAGGGGAGGGGGAGGGTGCGTAACGAATAAGACAAGATTTTGTCATCCAAGTCTCTTCGCTTTTCCATATTGGTGGTTTAGAGTTCTGGGTTCAAAATCTGCACCGACGCGCATATAACGCAAGGACAGTAGCTTCAAAAGCAACAAAAACTATTGACCAACAAAACATTTTTTTTTCAATTTGCAATTTATTTACAACGTAAAGCGAGTCTTTACTCCTAACTAGTCCTATACTAGTCCTTTTGTTACAATCAGTTTTTACTATTTGAAACTAATTAAACGATATACATATAAATCAGAATATATAAATGATTTGCTTCATCGACCCAAAAACTGTTTGACTAACACTTATTGGATATAAATTATGTTTAAATAACTAACTCAATAAATATTCACTTACTGCATGAATCTAGATTCATGATACATTATAAATGCAATTATATTTATAGTTATTATCATGATGATCACCATCACTATCACTATCAACATCATCGTCATTATCTGACACTATCATCATCGTCATCACTATCACTATCATCATCATCACTATCACTATTCCTATCACTATCATGTACATCACCCTCATCATCACCATCACCATCATCATTATCATCATCCTCTTCTGTCAGTGTTGTTGTGTATACCGGTTAGAAAATAAATAAATAAATAAATATATATATGTTAAATCAAAGAATTTTTCTACGAAACATTTTTTGATTTTTTTCTTGAAATCACGGTTGGGACTATTAAATGGCTTCCACGGCTATTGTTGCTGATTCGTTTAAAAAGGAAGTGATCTGATGGTCACGTTTCTATCGTGTTTAAATCAAGCTTGGTATAATCTAACAAGAAACTAAATAAAGAGTAGTCAATCAATCCCAGCAATTCTTCTTCGTTAAGTAATAATTTCTCCGTCCATTCTATCATAACTTGTTTTCTTCAGTGGGTAACATTTAGCTGGAGCTCCCTCATCATCCGTTTGCTTTATTCTGATGATTACAAAAAAACATGACTTTAGTTTGGCTATGTACTACTTCATCTCACCCTACCACTGAAAGAAAAATATTGTCCCAACCCGGGAAGGGGAGGGGGGAAATGAAATCAAATAAAGCGCACACCTTTTCATCCTGAAGCATACCACCAGAACAGTAACAGCAAAGAACAACACGATTGCAGTTAACATTATTAGAACAAGTATTATTAGATGATCGTCAAAAATCTTTTGTTTTTCTTCTGTGGAGCAAAAATTAAGAGACACTATTAGCTACATCTCATTCATAAAGAAATAGAAAACATTTGCTCGTGCTGTATGTAGTTATAAAGCACGCACTGGATTGGTAGAGCCATATGGCTGTTAAAAGGACCGTGTCATTTAATTGTCCATGGTGGAAAAACAAAAGAAATGTAAGGAGAACCACGACGCGTAGCGGATAGACAATACAGTAGTCGTCATCATTTTGGACATTTTTATTATTTCGCGCGCGTGGAGTGTGCTCTCACAATACTCGCGCTCACAACAAATCAGAACGCGAGATATAATAATTATTCATAAGTTTTTTTAAGCTGTTCAATAAAGTTGCAGATCGTGTTTTATCAGGAATAAAACCACTCGGTACGCCTGGTGTTTTAAAACTTGATAAAAAGCACTACTGCTCGTACTTCATCAGCTTACTATCTTACCTTGGTGAGACATTTTAAGTCCACTGATTACAACCCGGGTACCAATCCCTCCACACCCAGCTCCATTACACATTTGCATCTCTACTTCATACGCAGACTTAGTACGAAGATTGCTGATCATTCCTTTGTTTGTCGAGGAACTATTGATCTTAACGCTCTTCCCCCATGGGACATTCGACATGATATCGATCCGTTTTCTTGATATTTCTCTATACTGTATGATAAAGGTTTGGATCTTTCCGTTCCATTTGGCCTTCGGTGGCAACTAGATATAAGAACACAAAGATACAAAACTTAATATTATGTTAACCACAAGCAGCTAGCGCGAAACGTTTATTCGTAATTATATTATAAAAAGGGAAAACTACTTTCAAATAGTCCTGTCAACTTAATATATATATCACGGACCTCGAAGAAGGAAGCTGGGCTGCGGAGACTCAGTTTGGTCACTACCTCTATTTCCACACTACCTAATATGACGCGATAAGAAATATCGTGACATCACTTTATCCCCATCTCTCCTTCCCCTTTCCAAAACATGCGCAATGCGTAGTCATTTCTTTTGACGACCTACGACTTTCTTTTCACCGTTTCTCTGTCCTTCGTCTCTCCCGCGTGCTCTCATCACGAGTCTATTTTCTTACCTTCCAAGTGACCGTAACATTGCGTTTATTGAAGTTTTCTGGATAAACTATTGAATCCCAGTCCGTTATTTCTGGAGCATCTGAGGGATCTACAAAGCAAACACCATGTCAGAGGTCTCGTAGTGTGCGTGGCATTGTACCGGATGGCGTGAAGTGGGCAAGGGGTATGGGATGGATGAGGAGATGGGGTGGATGGGGTGATTGGAAGATGGGATGAAGGGGGGATGGGGTGAAGTGGGCGGGAGGGACAGCATTTTTTTAGTACAACCTCATCTAGTGGTAGAAGTGGTAGAAGTGTTACTGCATTTTGATTGGTTTTGGACCAATCACAATCCGGTAGTATTTCCAACAACCAATCAAAACGCACGATTTTTGACGTCATATAAGAAAAAAGGACGTGACTATTTCATGATAATTGTATTCTATTCGAGATTTTAATTACACACACAGTAACGCACGTTTCCCCTAGTAACAAGTGAGCATAATTTATATAAGCTTGACTACTTACTTTCTTCATTCGTTAGAAYAACCACAGGTCCCACAGGAATCCCAACTCTGCCGTCTATTGGATATATACCAGCTACGTAAATCGTATAGCTGGTATACGGCTGTAGATTCGTTAGTCGATAGTGATTTTGTCTATTGCTATCTAATATGATGGTCTGTTTATGAGAAATTAATAACGATTAGTATCTGAAACAAAGTTCGAAAAGATTTCGCAAACATGGCACACAGCACGGAATATAGATCACTGGTCATCCAATCAGACCGTTTGGCACAGCACGGTCACGGTACGAAAACGTGACGTTCGCAGATCCAATTACGGCGCGCGATTGAGATCATTGTTCATCCAATCAGGATGCGGAATCATAAAAAATCTGTCTCTCGTTTCTCGGTCAGGGAATGTATCGCAAGTAATTTAGCAATAACTATTAAGTACCTTGTTAGTGGAGTCTCCCTGTGCATGGTAGAGGATAGCGTACTTCATCTGCCAAAAAAACGAGTTTGGTGGAGGGGTCCAATCTATTGTTATTGATCCATACCCTATTGCTTGTGCTCGAAGGGACTGAGGTGGGCCAATTATAGCTAAACATTAAATAATATGTATTAAAATCAATAAACCTTACCCTATCAATCACACCCCACCTCACCCCTCACCCTCCCAACTCACCCCTTACCCTAACAATCATACCCCACCTCACCCCTCACCCTCCCAACTCACCCCTCCGAACAATTTACTATTTGCGCATGTGCAAAAGCATTTTGACGATCTTCATTGGGAAACCGATTATCAGTATTAAGAGATGATGTAACTAACCAATCAGTGAGCTGTCTTGGATGTTGAATAACAAACTTGCTATCATGTATCTTATTTAAATCAGAAATATTTTTGAATCCATCGTTCTCAGAAAACACGGAAAATTTCTTGGTAGAAGAAGATTGCAAGTAAAAGGCGTTACGTAATTTTAGGAAAAGTAGTGTTAGTTTTAGTCAACTTACTCTCTATCCCGCGTGAAAAATTGACAGGCGAGCTTGTAACAGACCCAAGGGCATTCTCTGCCACTACTACTGCCTCGTACTTAATAAACAAAGTCACGTGTTCTAGACAACATTTCATTTCCCGTCCAGGGGTAGGTGAGGTATTTTTGCAAGCCTCGTGCCATCCATTACTGAGCAGATTGACATCATCGTCCAAGTCACACTGAGAGAGACATCGATATTGTATTTTATACGTCACAGGTAAACCTCCTTCGATGGAGACTGGCTTCCAGTTGAAGCAAATTTGCCAATTGATGCTGCGCCAATTTGGGGTTGAAGGTTTGGTCGGTAAATCTAGAATTCAAATAATGGAACTAATCAGTGTCGTTACCATCTCAACGAACTGTAAAAACAGAACTCTTACTCATGTGGGTCCATCAACATACTGCTATAGTTATCAAGATTCTTTAGTGTTTATTCAAACACACTGGACAAATATTATTTTCCCATGTACAGGGAAAGTTGTGAAATTCTCCCACTTTACCGCTGACCGCTCGATTCGTGCTGTACGTTTTCTTCCAAGAATTGTCACTCAGATAAGTGCAGCTATCGAGTTTCCGTTTACCTTTCCGGTAATCCTGTTTCATTCTGCCTGCTCCGTCCACATGCATTATCATTAGAAAACACCTGCTTTTAACTGATGCGTATTCGCGTCTTACCCTCAAGGTCACAGCAAACAGCACTGAACTTAATGAATAACACAGTATTGAAAAGAAAACAGACGAATCAACTCACGCATGCGCACTAATCATCCACTTATCTGCTTACATCGTACTTTGTTTGTTCTGAATCCTGTTATACTTATGTAAGGTCTACGTAATGCTTACAAGAAAAACAGATTTACACGGTCAGTATCTAGGCATAAGGAGTATTGTATAAAGAAAAGCATAACACTCACCACTGACCAGGACGCGAACGAACGTGCTGTTTTGAAGCTGATCCTGTCTTGTGACCTCACATTGGTACTTCCCTTCATCTGATTTTCTTGCACTTTGTATCTGTAGCTGCAATGTGTTGTTGGCGACTTTTCGAGACTTGATATCTCTTAGACTGCCAACTTTTTTCCATTTTAGTTCAAAATTTGACCCAGAATCTTCGCCAAATACCGTACAATTTATTTGTAGATTTTGTCCCTTTCCTATAATCCTTTGTTTGGCGAATGTCACAAGATGAACTTCGCCTTAAAAAAATGTCAAAAATTAGAACATATTGATATTTTTTTACAAAACACGAACAAGAATTGCTAGTTGGTCCTGATAAAGTCACTCTGTCTGCGGAATCCCTTTCTGATCGACCACATTTCACACTTTGTGAATACCTCACTCTCTTCCAAACACGTTGTGAAATATTATCCACGAAAACCAAACCACAAAGTCGCTTTTGTGCGCAACCGACAATTATAACCATATTTCTTGGAAATGTACTTTTGCGGATTGTTGTTCTTCATCCCTGGTTAAAATAATGTGAACGCCCAAATTTATAGTCTGCTGCTTATTTCTTTTTCCCGAAAAAAACCCTTTGTTCTTTGTTCCTCAATAAATCTATTGAAAAATAATACTGACTAGAAACATTGCATAATGACATCAATGTGAGCGGACGAAAAATTTCCTTGGCCGTAGCACTAATCTTTCGTATTTCTCATAACATAAGATTTACATATTATGTACTCTGTTCAGACTTCCCATTTTAGCAAGTTGAATATCGTTCTAGATCAAAACGCAAAAAAAAAAAAAAAAACCCACCAACTTTGGACCTAAATTTAATGGCGCATGGAGATGATAACTTTCGCTTGAACCATTTAAGAAAAATTGATTTCTTTTGTCATAAAAATAAAAATAAATTTTACGCGACTTACCTTTTACTTCAAACAGCAAGAAAACTAGCACCAGCACTAATACTTCAAGAACAGAAAACCTTTTCATACTAACTTCTCTTGTGGTAGACGTACTCTTTCAGGATTTATTCCTGCTTCTTCTAAAGCGAAATCGGTTGACTAATGCTGTGTTCAGATCTGTTAAGAGCTAAGCAGTTCTGTGCAGGTAGTTTTATGATCAATAAGAGATTTCCTAGAAATTCTTTCCGAGTCTCAGGTACCAAATGAATATCATGTGATGTGGATTTTGTTTTTAAAACAAATGCCTTTACGAGTTTCCTCGTACCTTCAAACCAACAAATCACTTCCGGTTTTCTTGGAAATATCGACACTCGGACAACAGTTTCGGCTGTATAGTAATATCTTCTGATAAGACATCACATCACAGACTCAACTTGAAATCAAATCCCCCACCAGTATAAAAAGGCAATACAATCTGGTCATTTTTGATTATGATGTCAAATTCTAAAAATACCGAGAACACAAGGAAAAGTTAAGTGGAGTTCGAGTTCCTTTGGAAGCACTTCCGGTACGAAACTCGAATGTTTCACAAGTTCAGTTGAAGTTTCTAAAAATAAAGAACCTAGAAAACCCCCAAAACTTTTCCGAAGAAGGTCATTCAAGCAATAAGGTTTTACTTTTCTTGATAGCTAAGGTACTTTTTACATCTTCTATTCTGCCTTCAAGCATAAAAATCAGTCATAACCCATGGTGTTTGATACCTATTCACACAAACCAGGAAGTTGAAGATGTCAAGCAGAAAATAGCACAATAAATGAATGACACTATCAGGAATAAATACACTTAAAATCTATCAACAGAAATAGACAAACAGACAGTCAGATAGATAGACAGAAGGACAGACAGAGACAAACATATATTTAGACAGAGAGACAGATGGATGGAGAGACAGACAGACAGTTCCATAGTCTAAAACTTGGCAAGCATCAAACAACAAAACACAAAATTTCCATATTTTAAAATTTCGAGATGTTCTTGCAAATATTACATGTTTAACATTAGGGAATTTTTGAGGGGGTCCACATTGGGGGTCCAGCGATTGGAGATTCAGGAGAAAATACTAATGTAGTGGCTGTAAATATGTTGATGATATATGCACACACTGAGTATCTTTTTTAATAAATAGAGGATATTACATGGGCGCGCGGAGATACGAAATTTATCTTCGAGTGTTGAAAAGATCTCTTACGAGGGAGCGAAGCAAATGAATGAGAGATTTTTAACACGAGAAGATAAATTTCGTATCTCCAAGCGCCCATGTAATATTCTGTTTATTATATAATTATTCATAAAATCAACTTAATAAGCTTTTTATTATTATAAAACGTTTTTATTCATAAACTAATAGATTAAATACACATGGTAACGATATTTTCACATGTGAAAATAACGTTATTTTCACATGTGAAAATATCAGTTTTTCGAAAAGGAGAAATATAGGTATTTTATAGATTTATTATATGATAAAATCTATTACTAAAAAGTAATAATATTATGTGAAAAGTTCCAACCCTTCTCCTGCTCTGAGCAAACATAGCATCACCAATGCAGTAGTTATTAAAGGAGGTTTAGAGGTCATAAATGATGATTAGACTGGCATATTATAAAACAAGAGTATTTTCCATAAACAAAACAGTGTATGAACATCAATCATTATGTCCTGACTTTTGTTGTTCTTCTTGTCTTCTTCTCCTCTTGTAGACCATAGTTCTTATTCCATACCAGATTTTCCAGATTATGTAGGACCTCAGCCATCCAGGCAGAATGTTGTAGAACACCCATGCCTGCAAGTTGTTACAAACAGGACAATTACGAGGGGTACCAATGTCTTTTATCTGTCACAACTGAATATGTTGCAAATTCAAAACCTTCTTGTGTCGTTTTTCAGAATTTGACCCTCAGTAACAGGTCCTAGCTGTCGGTAATTCATATGAGTGGTATGTGCTTCATTGCTATAGTTCATGGCTCTCCTATTGCCATTTCAAGGTGATGTCCCTTGCCAGAATTTACCCCCGGTGGGGGGGTACTCCCCTATATTCGCTATACGGGTACATGCCGTCAGACAGGGTATGGTTTTCAGCGTTTCTACTCTGGAACAGGGTATATATAATCGCACTCGCTCTGGAACAGGGTTTTCAGCAATCTTGCTCTGGAACAGGGTATGAATTTCAGCAATTTTTTTACTCTGAACAGGATCAGGGTTCACAGGGCTCAGCGGCACATTCCTAACCTAAACGGGCAAGAGTACCCCCCTGGGAATTTACCCCTAAAAGGGCCTCATCAATGATTCAAAAATTCACAGCTTCAACAATACATTACGAACACTTTTCAATTCCAAGAACATTCAATGGAACATATGAACATTCTAACCTTCAGCAACAGAGTTCAAAACTGTAGTTTTCTACCTACTTGCAGTGAATGACTCCAGTATCCACAAGTCCTTGGTTCCACTCCAACAGTTCCAAGGGCTTGATTGACAAAGTTATCACCAGTGGGGACCAAAGCACTGGTTGGCATGTTTTTTGTCATGTTTGTTGATACAAACATTGGCATTACACACTACAAAATATCAAAAAGATCAAAAAGTTCAAAAGTGTCAAAAGGATAAATGGATTACTGATGACAAAAAATTCAATAATCACTAAGTCTTAGTCTAGTTCTTAATAAATTAATGTGTTATTAGAGTAAAATGGTGTGATATGTTAGTGTGGTTTAATGGACATGTTCCAATTACTGGGGTGCCTGATCCATTCTTGTACTTGTTGGTAGGTTGTTGGTAGGTTGTTGGTAGGTTGTTGGTAGGTTGTTGGTAGGTTGTTGGTAGGTTGTTGATAGGTTGTCGATAGCAACATACCTTCTTATTTATCATACTTATATAATTTTATACTAACTTGAACAGTGATTCCTTTTGAAGAGTATTCTGTGTTTAAGCTTCTACTGAAAAAATCCACAAATGCCTAAATAGAAGAAAGAAAATATTCTTGCATGTCAGAGTGCATGTGATGTCATATCCACCATGTTGGATGACTTGAATAAAAGATTTAGTCTTGGTCTCTTTTGTCATATCAACCAACATGGCGACCATATCTTTTGTCCTTGTACATGTGACATCATAGCCACCATGTTGGATGACTTGAACAAAAGATTTGATTTTGGTCTCTTTTGTTATGTCAACCAACATGGTGGCCATGTCTTTTGTCCTTGTACATGTGACATCATAGCCACCATGTTGGTTGACTTGAACAAAAGATTTGATCTTGGTGCCTTTTGTCATATCAACCAAAATGGTGGCCATGTCTTTTGTCCTTGATTAACAATAAATGTTACAGCTATAGTACTGATTATTCAATAGTAACCTTGGTGGCAGAGTAAGTTGCTATCAGCGGCATTGGCATACTGCCAGCAACAGATGATACATTGATGACAAGACCCTTTTTCCTTTAAACAAAAATAAATATGTATCAGTCAGTAATGGTGGGGAGGGGGGAGGGGTGGGGGATGTTTTACCTATCTACATCCAACCTCCCTGCACTTTACATTCATTTCCATACAATCTCTTGTTTCAGAGAAATCTGATGCTTTTCTATTATTTATACATGTAAATCAAGTATTTTCAAAAAGCAATGAAAAAGATATATTTTTTACCTGGAGACCATGCCTGGAAGAATGATATGCATCATCTGATAAAGAACAATAATCAAACAAATTACAGTTTAACAGTTTGAAAAATTACATAATTATACAAGTGAAAAATAATAAAATGAATGAATGAATGAACACTTTTATTTAAACAGGGTAATCCCTTCAGTTACATGGAATGTATAACTGCTATCAATAGGAGCCCTAATAAATATAAGATAATAAATAATTTAGGTTAAAAGCTAAAATATGAAGCTATAGTAATAAAATCCAAAGTAGGTTAATAAGATCTAAAATATGATACTAAAATATAATACTAAGGCCGAGGTTAGACGTCGACCCCACATGCCCCGAATCCAACGCAAACGAGCAAATGCTAACAAAAATCATATTACCATGACAACTGACAGCACATTAACGTTAAGCATCTTCAGATCATCCTGAAAAAAGGTTAAAATTTAGGTTAGTTTAAAAGAGTGAAGGCCTACCAACTAGATTTTTATTTAAAAAAATAGGTAACCTGATAATGGGAGGTGTCTATTAAGACATGCACGACAGTATGTTTCAGTAGAAGTTTATTATAGTAAAATGGGATAATATTTCCATATAAATATAATATCAATAATAAATATATATTATTATTATATAATTACCAATGAAATATCTATTTTTCTCTATTTCGAAAAATTGATATCTTCACACGTGAAAATAACATGTTATTTTCACGTGTGAAAATAACACCATTGCGATGGCTATTCAAAAATACACGGAAAGAATTGCCCGAAAAAGCCAAAACATATTTCATTGATAATTATATAATAAACAGAATATTACATGGCCGCTTGGAGATACGAAATTTATCTTCTCGTGTTGAAAATCTCTTTTCAACACTCGAAGATAAAATTCGTATCTCCGCGCGCCCATGTAATATCCTCTATATCTCTAACCTGCACTGATGACATAAGGAAGAAGTCAGGACATGAATCTCCAACTCCAACATTGTTGACTTGAAGAAAATAAGGAAGGAATAAAATTTATTTATTTATTTAATATTAATATAACTTTATCCATAACAATTATCTAAGAAGAATTAATTTCTTTAAATCAAGAATGTTATATTGTTGATGTTAGGTAATGATATAACTAACTGCCATGTGTTGATCAACATTTGCCCGTAAAGTATATGATTTCCTTCTCGATAATTACACTAGTCTTACAGTAATTCACTGAAAAATGAAATGAATTTCGCTGTTTTATCATCACCCTTTGATTGTTGTTTTCTTTTTTACCCTTACCGACCATGCTCCCCAGGATTTACTCCCTTAGTGTCGTTAGTTCTCTATTGTGTGTCAAGGGTCCAGTTTTCCCTTGCCAATAAGATCAACATTTCTAAATTAAAGTTGGATTCTTTGAATTAAGAGCTCCACTCTATGAAACCCTCTTTTGACCTTGTATTAACTAATTACTTACCAAGGATTCCTATTTCAAGATCCTTTAGTTTCTCCTCCAGACCTTCATAAATTTCTGGTCCGCCACTGAAGTCCATCACAATAATTTTAGTATTGACATTGTAAAGAGACCCTGAAAAACAACCACAATAATATACTGAAGATATTTCTCTGAAAAATGTGTAACTTAATTAGTTAGTGTATAATTTATGTACTCACTTATTTCTTGGTCCACATTTTTTAGTTTTTCCATGTTTCTGCTTATAAGGACGATATTGATCCCTTGTTTTGCTAACTAGAACAACAGTTACACAACATTTAGTGCTCACAAACGGATGGATGGGTGGGTGGATGGGTAGAGAAAGTTATGGATGGATAGTTGGATGGGAGGGTGGATGGATGGAAGGTTGGATGGATGGGAAGAGAGAAAGGGATGAGTGGATGGATGGTTGAGTGGATGAATGGGTGGGTGGATGGGTGG